ACTAGAGGCAACCATACATTGATGTTTCTCTCCCTCTCTCTTTCCCCTCTAGAGATGATTTAAAAAAAAAAAAAAAAAAAGATCTTTCTCTGGAAGCAACACTGACCAGTTTTCCCACAGTTAGCAGTTTAGTCCCTCTGTGTCAGGAAGGACCTTTCCTGGTTACCATGTTCCACATAGGAAGAAAAGTGTACAGAGATTGGAAATGTTTGAGGCCACATTTGAGTGACAAGGAAGGTTAGGAGGAAGGATGCTCAGGCATTCCCATCTAAAGTCTATCTTATCAGGGTCGCAAATGTTGCAGACCATCTCAAAGCATTGAGCCCGCATCATGTAGTGCATCCTTTCTGCCAGACCTTGACAGGCAGCAGACACCACATTTGAAAAGTATACAAAACAAAATGAGCAGAATAAAATCCAGTTTGTATAATGGTCCCTAAACCAGGAGCTCAAGCCTGAGCTCTAATCAGCTATATAGGCAGGGGGACCATGGAGAATCGGGTGAAATTTGTTGTAACCAAGGGGCTTATTCCCTAAATTTTGTGGAATTGGGTTTCTACTTCTGAAGAATGTATCCATGTGCAGCAGATGGTGTTTGCTATTGCAAACTAAAACATGGTTCTTTTCAATGGACATAATTAGACTTTTGCAACATTGTGGCATATGTGTCTCCTTTTATCAGCTGTGGATCAAAAGAGGCAGGGGCTGGATGAACCGGCCACCCTGTGACTCAAAGGGGTGGATCTGAGATTTAGAAGGACCAATGGCAACATTTTGGCCAAGGTTTTGGAGGGTTTCCACAAATTTTGCCGATTGAGTTTTGATGATGCTGTTGGTTCAACTGGTCCTAAGGACTGAGGATGATTAGCAAAAATTCTATAGAACTGGCCAGATAGCACAGTCTTGCCATATTTGACCAGTAAAACTGGTTCCCTGGTCTCCATGGGGCTCAAGAAGATTCCCCCAGGTAGAGATGATGTTTTTCCCCCCAATAGGGTCAGGCACTAAAGAGGCATGTAGCTTGTCAACATGGGAAGGCTTTGACCCAATAGGAAATCACAAATCATTACCATGACATACTTGTACCCACGAGATGGGGGTAGATGAATAAAGTCCATTTGCCAACCCTTAAATGTTCTACTGGGCAATTTAAAAATAGCCGGGGGTGGCCCTGGCCTGTGTGGCTCGGTTGGAGCATTGTCCCATAGACCAAAAGATCACGAGTTTGATTCCCAGCCAGGACGCATACCCAGATCGCAGGTTTGATCCCTGGCTGGGGAACATATGAGAAGGCAACCCATTAATGTTTCTTTCTCGCTTCACCCCTTTTCCTCCCTTCCTCTCTCTAAAAACAATGAAAAAATATCCTCGGGTGAGAATAAATAAATAAAATGTCCAGGGGTGGTGTGGACAGTTTTCTCTGGATTATTTTGGGGGCAGGTGGGGCAAGAAAAGTAGGTGCTTTTTGCAGCCTTCTTAACATCTTCACACCAGTCCTGGTGTATGAGGTTTGCCGTCTCGCCAGCCGACCAACACACAGTGTGTGCACAGCGGGCAGTAATGGGGGTTTAGAATTTCTGGCAGGAGTGGGGAAAAGCCAGAGTGATTTTTTTCCAAACCAACAGTTATTAGAGTCCCATTATTGTTTTTCCTTTTCTCGGGCCAATTTCAGAGCATTGCTAGTCAATTTTTCTTTTTTAAAATTTCAAAAATTTCTTTTAGAGAAAGGGAGAGAGAAACATCGATTTGTTGTGCCAATTACTTATACATTCATTGGTTGATTCTTGTGTGTGCCCTGACTGGGGATTGAACTTGCAACCTTGGTGTATTGGGACAACATTCTAACCAACTGAACTACCCGGCCAGGGCATTACTCAATTTTTAAAAATTATCATTTGGGGGAACATCCCTTTGGACCATGAGAGAGGTCACTGTAAACAGTGTCCTTGGAGGAAATACACCAGCAAAGGTGGGTTCCTTTATCCTCCGGGGACTCAGGTTTGGAATGCTCAAGCATCTTAAGAGCAAGGTGGCCGATAGGAGTACGGCATACAATAGGTTTTGGACTTCAGAGCTATTTTCAATTGTATCCCCACTAGAGGTAAGGAAATTTTGAGGTTTCTATAGCATTCCAGGGTCACGAGCAATCCTAAAGGCATAGTGACTATTGGCATAAGTATCGTGGTATTGCTCTTGGCTGGAACACAAGCCAGACTAAGTGTATAATTCATCCTGTGGGGCAGAGGTAGCCAAAGGGCAAGGTGCTGCCTTGATAACTTCAAAAGTAGTTATAATAGCATACCCAGTCCAACATTTACATGTAAATAAGAACCAAAAACCAAATTTCTCCCTCTCTCCTTCCCTTCCCCTCTATAAATAATCTTAAAAAAAAAAAAAAAAAGAACCAAGAGTAAACCATGCAAAATCTACATTGGTCAAAGAACTGCCTATACGTTATCATGTCCTGAGGGCTTTTATCAGTGAAGGAGGGGATAATAAGCCCAGTCAAGATTAAAAGTGAGAAAGTTACAAGAGGGTCTGTCAGCAGGACCATTTCACAGGTGAGACGACTGGCAGAAATGAATTGTGATGAGAATGCAGGAGGGCCTCCAGTGCTTGGTACCAGATGTTGTGGGGGTGGGGGGAATGACTATTTCTTCCAGTGGACTGAACTACAGGGTCCATGGCAGGGCCCTGACCAGTGTGGCTCAGTTGGTTGGGCAATGTTCCTCAAAGCAGGAAGGGTCACCAATTCCGTTCCATCAGAGCCGGTGTCTGGGTTGTGAGTTCCGTTCCGTGGTAGAGGAACGCGTGAGAGGCGGCGGATCCATGTCTCTCACATCGATGCTTCTCTCTCGCTCCCTTCCCCTCTCTCAAAAAAATAAAGTCTTTTTAAAAAATAAAAGGACTCTGAGGCAAGGGGAGTTATCCTTTTGCCCACAGGGTCTTAGCTGCTGGCCGTAGAACCCTACGGGGTGATGGTGATCACAATGGCCTAGAGCCGTGATTTTCAATCTTTTTCATCTCATTGCACACATAATCTACCTGCTAAAATTCTGTGGCGCACCAAAAAATATACTTTTTCCCGATCTGACAAAAGAATAGATATACTTTTGATTCATTCACACAGACAAGTATTGTGTTGGCTGTTGTCATTTTTTAGATAATCTAAGGAAAAAGAGGTCAGTGCCCTGGACTAAATAGTCAGGTATGCATCTTTTAAACATTTTTGCGCCACACGGGTTGAAAATCGCTGCTTTAGAGTGGGCACCACGCGGGATCCTGGGCCCAGGCGGAGCGGAAAGCGCAGGGACCAGTAGCCACAACCCGCGCTTCGCCCCACCCCCCGCTCCCGCCCAGGCCTTGGCCCGGGCCTTAGCCCAGAGCAGCCACTTCCGGCGGCGGTGCTGGCGGGGCGTAGGGATCTCGGACCTCGGGAAGGATAACTGAACAGCGTGTTCCGCAGCCATGGAGCAGGACGACCCGGCCGAGTTGCTGGCCGAGCTGCGTGAGCGGCGACTGGGTCCGTTGGAACTGCTGCAGGTGGCGACGGGCTCGGGCCTGGCCGCCTACGCCGTGTGGGCCCTGCTACTGCAGCCCGGGTTCCGCCGGGTGCCGCTGCGGCTACAGGTGAGGCCCCACGGTAGGGGGCCAACGGAGGGACGACTCTCTGGGCAGATGGGTGGGAGCAGTTGCTGGCAGCCGGAGCGTTGGGGCTCTGGCCAGTGGGCGGGGCCCAAGTCGGGGGGCGGGGCCCGAACTGAGACTCTGAGCCGGGTTGTGGTGGAGCGGGGAGGGTGCTACACTTCAGGGCCAGCCTGGTTGTGGTTTGGGACCTGTTTCAGGTGGGAAAGAGCAACCCATTCAAAGAAAGGAGCCCAGGAGGCAGGCTCTGCCCTGCGACTAGTGAGATTTAGGTTTGGGATCAGAGACGTGAAGAGCTTGAGTGGCTAATGCACTCCAGCCCTCCAAGCCATGTCTCTGTGCCCAGGTGCCCTATGTTGGGGCTAGCGTGAGGCAGGTGGAGCATACGTTATCGCTGCTGCGAGGCCGTTCTGGAAAGCTGGTGGACCTGGGCTCTGGAGATGGCAGGATTGTAAGTAGCGGGGATTGGGGGCAGTTTGGCCCTCCTCACAGCGCACCTCTCCACCTTTGGGTTCTTACGCTGTTGGGGCCCGCAGGTGCTGGCTGCCCACAGATGCGGTCTTCGCCCAGCTGTGGGCTATGAGTTAAACCCGTGGCTGGTGGGGCTGGCAAGGCTGTATGCCTGGAGGGCCGGCTGTGCTGACAGTGTCTGCTACCATCGTGAGGACCTCTGGAAGGTAACCTGGGGAGTCTTGTACCTCTTCAGACGCCACGCTTGATCTCCACTCTTCCAGTTCTGGCTTGGCTACCCTGCTGAGAGCCCCAGGTGCTCCTGCCTCCTGGGCGGGCTGGGGGCTGACACTCAGAAGCTGAGGTAACCCCATGCCTGTCAGAACTCTTTCAGGGCTTGAGTCCTGTCCCCTACTAGGGTGACCTTTTCTTCCCACAGGTGAGCCTGAGAGACTGCCACAATGTGTCTGTGTTCCTGGCTCCCAGTGTGGTAGGTCTGGGGGTTGCTAGCACCAGGGGAGGCCCAGGCCACCCCAGTGTATGTGCTGGGCCTGGGGGAGCCGGGAGGGGACAGCTGTGTTCTGCCCCGCCCACCCTACTCTCCTGCTCTCTCCTACAGCTCCCACTGCTGGAGAAAAAGCTGCAGGTAGAACTGCCTGAGGGGGCCCGTGTGGTGTCAGGACGCTTCCCCCTCCCCACCTGGCAGCCTGTGGCTGTGGTTGGTGAGGGTGTGGACCGTGTCTGGGCCTATGACATCCATAGTGGTGGGCCAGCTGGGCAGGCTGCCCCTGCACCCAGTTCTGCCTTGGTCCTTAGGGCCCCTGATCCTCCGTCTGGCTGACCACGTGGACACAGTAAAGACTCAGTGGACTCCACCCTGGCTCTTATTGTGTGGAGGGTTGGGTCACATGACTCCCCAAAGTGGGGCTGTGGGGCGGATTCTCTGCTGGCTGGGAGATGCTGTGCTCCCAGTTTATCTGATGACTGGCTAGCGGCTGCGGGTCCTGGGGCGCTGAGGCTTGGCTGGAGGCGTGGCCCCCACTTTCTGGGTGTCTCCTGGACCCACCAGCTTCCTTAGCCTCAGGATCTCCTTCTTGAACCTGCTTAGAGGGACTAAGTTTAGTAACCCGCCTGGCTGTGAACAGACCCTGCCTCTGGTGTTCGGTACATATCCCCATCCCACTTTTCCCAGAGCTTACCTGCCTAAGTGCTGGTCCACATACTCTTGAAGCTCGGAAAGTTGCTCCTCAGCCTTGGTGGCTCGGACTAGCAGTTGTGCCCGCTCCCATTCTAGCTCTGCCTGGCATGGAGGGGCATAAGCCATGAGCCAGGACAGGGTATGAAGAAGCATCCCTGGCCAGACCTTGCCCACACTCTACCTGGGTGCTACGGTAGAAGTTCTGGAGCTTTTGGTAGATCTGGGCCCAGGATGCAGCTTCCAGGCTCCTACAAGCCGAGAAGGGGCTGGTGGAGTCCCAGGAGCTGACCAGTGACCCTGTTCAAGTAGGGGCACCTAGATCCTTGAGGTGCCTGCTGGGGGTAAGTTTAGGACAGCATGGGCCCACCCTGCCAGCATGGGAGCCATCTGTGCATGGGGGGCAGGGCAGCTCAGGCCAAAAGAGCCCACTGGCCATGTCCAGGGACAGTTAAGCCACAGCCCAGCTTGGAAAGTGACCCCCAGTGTTTTTAAGAATGCTGACGGAGGGCCTTCCCCTGTGCTGGGGGTTTGTTTCCCAAAACCCTGGAGATGGGCCTGCATAAGCCCCTGCTCACTGCATAGCTGGAAGCATGGAGGCCCAGGGGCGAGGGCCGTGAGGGGCACTGGGTATAGCCTGCTGCTGCTCTGTCCTGTGGGGTCAACTGGAACATCTTTTTCCAGGGCTTTCCCTAACCCATTCAAGGTCAGCCCCTCTCCTGTCACCCCATGCACTTGGTTTTTCTGTGATTATTAGTGTCTCCTATACGGACTGAGACCTGAGGGCACAGATGTACCACCTTGTTCACTGCTGCAACCAGAACCCCATGCGGCAGTGCAGAGTTGGTAGAATAAATGAGTTACCCCCTTGCAGGTTGCCCCCACACCTACATCAGGGCACTCACTGTGGCTCTGATGTGCTCCCCTGGGAGGCTTCACCAGGTCCTTTCTGTGGGAACAAGAGCAGCATCTTGAGATCTCTAGAATAAGGCTGCATGATAGGGATTCTCAGTCAGCTGAACAAGGTGGGCTGCCCACAGGCCCTGGGGTGGAGGCTTTGCAGAGCTGAGGGTGGGTCCCAGCTGGGTTCTGGGCTGTGTGCCTCAAGGCCAGTGTGGGGCAGCGGGGAGGGCTGACCTGGACTTGGAGCTTCTGGAACCGTGTCTCCAGCCTTGCCTGATCCTTCCCAAGGTGGCCAAGCTCAGTGACCAGGTGCAGGGGCAGTGGCTCCAGGTCTGAAGTGACCACGTCAGAGGTAACATTGGGGATCCCAGGTGCTCCATTGGGGTCTGCCAGCACCTGCTGCACACTGAGACACATATGAGGTCATGTGGAGCCATCCTACCCCATTTTCACATCTCAGGGGGAGGGGCCTACCTGTGGGCACTGAGCAGCTCCTCATGTCTCCGGCTCAGATCTGCCAGGCGCTTGCGGTAGATGCGAGCAGCCCGGGCCAGCTGTTGCTCACGGCTGTGGTGTGCTGCTCGGATGTCCTCCAGAGTGGTCTCCAGGAATGTCCGAAGGGCTCCTCCAGCTGTAGGTGCCTGGCTTGCACCATCTGCATACTCCTGGAGGAGGTGAGGTGGGGCCTGGGCTTGGTAGGGTCCACACCGCTCCCCTTTACCTCTGTGGAGGAGGCCCTGCAGTTCAGCAGTGCAGGCCCAGAGGGCTTCTGAAGCAGCCCAGCAAATCCAGGCCAGGCTTGGGCTTCCCAGGATCCAGGGCCCACCCACCCACAATAGGGCCACCCTGCCCAGGGCTCACCACCAGGGCTCGGGCACAGCGCTGTAGCCGGACAGTGTACTCCTCCTTCAGCCTCTTGAGTTGCAGCTGTAGCCGGCCATTCTCGGCCTCGGCCTGGCGGAGCTGGCCCTGGCAGGTGGACAACACCTGGGGAATGGAGGCAGCCCTGAACCTATACTCTGTGAGGTAGACCTCTGCTAAGTTTATAGGATCCCTTCCCCTGGGTCTCAAAGTGGGTATGGCTGGGCCTCACCACGGCTTGTGCAGCCAGTCGCTGCCCAGCTGCCTTGACCTCCTCTTGGGCTCCCTCCAGCTGCTGGCCCAGGGCTGACCTGCAGACATGGATATGAGGCTCAGTCAGCCTCAGGGTGGGGGACTCCCTCTGCCCCTTGGGAATAGCTGCTCTGTGCACTGTGACAGGTAAGGCAGCCACTCACACACGTCTCTCCAGTGCTTGCTGCCTGGTCCTGTGCTGCTCCAGCACCCACTTCACTTCTCCTTGCAGCTGCAGAATACACAGGACTGGCTGAATGAGACTGCAAGCTCTGGGTCCCCTGTACTGCCCCGCCCATCCCTGGGCTGAGAGAAACCGGGACAGATCCCTGGGTGAGGTGGCTGCATACTCACGCCATTTCCCAGCTTCTGCAGCTCATTTTCAGAGGGCCGGGAGCCCTCAGGCTTTGCCTGTATGGGAGAGTGGGTCCTAGCCTCACTGAACCCCTGCTTTATCCCTATTTGGCTCCCACCCAGCCAGGCCCTCCACATGCTCAAATGGTGACCTGAAGAATGTGGTCGTTGCCATGTCCCTGATCCTTGGCCTTTTGCTCAAGCTCCCATGCAAATGCCTGGAGGTGCTCTGGACCAGCCTCTGCTGAGGTTGCATGGTCTCCATGCAGCTCCAGCTCCAGCACCCGGCTCTCCAGCCGCAGGACCTGTGGGTGACCAGGGTGAGCAGGTGCACCTGCCTGCTGGGCCAAATCAACACCCACTTGGGCACATATGGATATACAGCGTGTATAGGACATTCAGGGACACATACTGTGTGAGTTCCCTGTCACATGGGGCATACATGCACCCCTCCCGCCCACGGCACTGGTCCTGTGTATGCACCCCCAAAGCTCTCAGGCTGGCACATGTGGGTGCACATCAGCACCCACCTCACTCTTCAGCTCAAAGATTTCAGCCTCATGCTGCACCTTCAGATGATGGGTTGTGATCTGCAAGTCGACCAGCTCCTTGGAGATCTGTGGGTGGCCAGGGTGAGAAGTGGCACCTGTACGATCCCGTGGGCATGCTGTCTCCTAGCTCCTCGGCACCCACACTCACCTGCAGCCGCTGCTCCTCACTCAGCTCTAGATCTGATGGAAGCTCTGTCTTAAGACTGGTGGCCCAGGCCGGGGCATCTCCAGGGACTCCCGGCAGCCAATCCTCAGCCGGGGGTAGAACCTGGGGAGGAACCACGACCCATCCCCAGGTGGGTCTCAAGCCTCAGTTGTGGCCTCCACTCCTGTGGAGCTACGAGCTATCCACTCCCACACACCCAGCATAGCAGAGGTGGGGAAACCAGGCCCATAGTCAAGATTAGGGTCAGGACATGGGTACCCACACCCCTTCTGGTCCTTGAGGGGGTCAGGGAGGACCCCCAGTCCCATGGCAGAAGCAGCATAGTTCTGGGAGGACTCACATTCTCAATGGCCTGAGATGGGACCCCAGGCTTGGGACCTGGAGCTGCTGCGCACTCCATAGATAGAGGGGACTGTGGCTGCCAGGAGCCCAGTGCAGCCTTGCTTACTGGTCTGTTGCTGCAACAGGGTGTCTTGTGTTGCCAAGGTCTCTGTTGGTTCCCAGGAGTCTCCTGCCTACCAACCCACTACACACACACACACACACACACACACACACACACACACACACACGAGGCAGACAGGGCATTCAGTGGTTGGGGATGTGGGGAGAACTCAGCGATCCATTTTTTCCCTGGCTTCAGTTTCCTCACCTGGGAAATGCAGACCGGTACCCTTGCATTTATCCGGGGCGCGGATGAAAGAAACTAGGGGTGCTTGAAAACACCCAGTCTGGGCAGGTGTGGGACAGTGTGCAAGAAAAGGAACTTCCTCTGCCGTTCCCGTTACCCTGCAATATGGGTTCGTATACTCATTAGAAGCCTTTTGTGTGCCTTCCAGTGGTGGCTGAGCGCTGGGACAGGCAGACGGTAGACGAACAAATTGGACAGATCCCCGCACCCCCCAGTCTGAGGGAAGGCGCCCCCTGCTAGGAGCAAAGCCCGGTGGTGTGGGCGCTGTTCGCGCGGCAGAGCTGAACAGTGCGCTCTGTCTAGGTCCCATGACCAGTGGCCAAAATCCACCTTTGTCAGGCGCCTTTCGTGCTGTTCGCAAGCCGGCTGACATAGCCAGTGCGGCGGGGGAAGGGAGCCGTTGGGGACCGGGATCTTGAAGCAGCTGGAGGCGTCGGGAGGGCGGGGCAGGCCTCGGCAGAGGTGTGGCTTGCCGGGTCCCAGACAGGCTGGGGCGGAGCTAGGGAGGTGTGGCAGAGATAACTCGCTGGAGGCGTGGCTCAAGAGGCGCAAGGGCTGCTAGAGCCGTGCCCGAGGGATTCCACCTGGGCCCTCCCAGGAATCCCTGGGGCAGGGAGCGGGTCTCCTTTTCTGGCCCCCAGTGTGTATTATGTTCGTGGAGCTGACTCCTCCAGCTCACAGCTCTGCGTAAATTCGGAGAAGGAAGCCCCACCCTGAGGAAGAAGCCAGGAAGGCTGTGAGCCTGTTTTGGAGGAGGCATGGGGTGGCTGAGGTCTGTGACGCTGAACGTCAAGGTCATCCCTGTGCTGCTCCTTGGTAACTAGCTACATGGAGCACACACAGAAGATTGTGGCCTAGGACATGACAGTGCCCAAGAGGATGAGGGCAGGAGGTGGGCCCAGGCATCTTGGGCGGCAACTGGCCAGATAGTGCCCCTTCAAAGAGGCTGTCCTCCAGACCATCCACCCTGGTTGGAGCAGAGCCTCTGTTCTCTAATCTGTGGTGGTTTTGCATTTAGGTTTCCTTGATTGTACTTTGGGTCTCCCTTGGGTTTAAGACCACTTTTACCTTCTTTTTTTCCTTATTCTGGTGCCTAACTGTTCCATACACTCTGGGAGCTCAGTAATTAATTGCTGGATCTCCCCACCACCACCACCACTGCCATAATGGCCTGTCCAGGGCACTGTGCCTGCCAAACCTTGAGCCCCAACATGGGGGAGGGCACCTGGAGCATTTGCAGCTCCTTAACTTCCATTCCTCTGAGCTACTGGAGATTGTGGGCTGGAAGGGAGTATCACTGGCCACTGTACTGACCCTTTACCATCACTGTTGAGTGTGGCTGGGGCGGGCTGAGGCTCAAGGGTGTTGGCCTCACTCACCCTAGCCACTGTGTGATTCTGCTCCCACCTGTCTCCAGGGACCAGGAGCAAGGACGCGAGGAGCTGGCAGTATCTGTGGCCTGGGCTGGTGGTGCTGGGTGCCAAAGAACACATCTGTGTGCTGACCCACAGACTGGCACACGGTGAGAAATTTCCCACGAGCATGTGCCTTGGAGGGCCAGAAGGGCACTGGGTCTGCCCACCTTACCCACCCACGTGCCTATCTGTGGTGGTTTGGGGCCATCCTGTGTGCTGTGTCCTGAGGCCCAGCCAACCTCCAGACACCCGAGTTGCTTCCCGTGGGAAGACAAGTGTCCCCAACCTACTTGTCCTCTTCCCCAGTACAGCTGCCTGCACCCACCTGCTCCAGCTTCTCTGAGCCATCTTCCTCCAACTGGCACCTAGAGAGACAGCTTGGCAAACGTAGCAGAGCCTGGCAGTGACCTGGGCACCCTACCCCAAGACAGTGAGTGGCCTGTCCCCTCCTCTCTTGGGGTCTGGCCTCCTAGCACAACCCACAGGCTGTGCACCTAACTCGTGCCAGGGGTGTGGGATGAACGCGTGCCAGCCAGGACAGGGCAGGCCGGGTGTGGTGCTGGGTGCACCGGAAGGTGCCAGGGACTGGGGCCGAGGGGCCTGGACAGGCCGGCCAGGGTCAGAGCCTGTCCCCTATCTGCCTGTGGCAGTGTTGTGTAACCCACATGCCTCCTTTCTCCAGAAGGTGTTATTTTTTTTTAAAGTTTTTTCATTTTTTGATTCAAAGAGAGGGGAAAGGAGGAAGAGAGGGACACTCATCAGTTGTCTCTTGCATGCACCCTGACTGGGGACCAAACCCGCAACCCAGGCATGTGCTCTGACTGGGAATTGAACCCGTGACCTTTGGGTTTGCAGGACGACACCCATCGGAACTGCCCTGGCCAGGTGTCCTGTGACTATGAGCACACACTGGCAACCTGGAGTCTGTGCGGCCCTGCAATGTCCACGTGAGGGCCGAGCTGTCAGGAGCCAAGGCACAGCCACTTCTCCCCTCCAGATGGTGAGAGCTGGAGGGTGGTGGGGACCTGGCAGCAGCACTGCAGGGGCATTCAGCTCTGGCTGGCCCAGGATGACCAGACCTGGCTTAGGCTGGGGTATCCCGGCCAGCTGGGGCTCCCACTGGTGTGGGGAGGGGTTGGGGCCTTGGACAGGGAGTGGGGCAGCCTATGGGACTGGCTCATGAGTAGCTGCCCTCAAGGACCAGTCTGGGGCTGAGGCAAGTTGCCTGGTGCTCTCAGACAAGGCCGTAACAAGGACCTGCAGTTATACCCACAGAGGGGTGGGGATGCCGTGCCCACAGCGCCATCCACTCTGGGGGGAGCTCCTCTACAACCCTTTCCTGAGGGTGGTGTGAGGCCTGAGCCAGCGTGCCTTGGGAGGTCCTGTGCTCTCCCCAGGGGCTGCATCTCAGAGCCGGCTCAGCCAGCCCAGTTTGTGGGGACTCCCTGGCAGTCATTCGGACACAGAGAGAGGTGTCAGGGTAGGCCGACTGGCACTGGGGAGAAACTGCTTATTAAGTGTCTTCTGCCAGCACCTGCCCAGTAGCTCCCCTTTGAGCTGCCATGGCACCTCCTCTCCTCGCAGAGAGGAGCCTGTGAGCAAATGCACTGGGAAGGTGGCCCTGGCTGAGGTCCTGGAGGTGCTCTGCAGGGAGCGGGCAGGCTTTGACCAGCAGGTCATAGTCCCAGGCCATAATCCCAGGCCCTCTTGGCGATGCAGAGGGGTGGTCCTGAACACACCTTGATCAAAGTGAGTCCCTCGTGAACCTGATATAGAGCCAGGCAGTGTGTCCCAGCCTCACCCAACTGGCTGCCCAGCCTTGGAGAGTGGGCACTGTGGTACTTCCTGGTGGTGAGCACGTGGGTCCCTCTCTGTGGTGCACTTAAGCTCTAAGACCTGAGTGTTTGGGAAAAAGTCTAGCAAAGTACACTGGGCTGGTGAACTTCAAAGCTCTGAAAGGCCCTTTTCAATGTTGGCAGAAGCGTTCAGAGTGAAGCTGTTTTCAGAGGGAGGCCCGTTTATTACAGGCAGAGCTCAGCAGGGCCGGGCCTGACAGGCAGGGCCCCGTCTTCTCTGCCTCCCTTCCCCACCCAGTAAGCAGGGGTCCAGTGGTGAAGAACTTAGGCTCTCTGGCCTGGGGGCCGCAGCTTCCTCAAAACAAACACCCGGTTCCAGTGGAACTGCCAGGTGGAGTGGGCACTGCGTCTCTGGCACGGGTGTCACGAGCTGAGCGCCCCTCCCTGCCAGTGTCCTTTGCCGCCAAGTGCAGTAGGGCTCCCCATGCTGGGCTGTGCTTTGGACCAGCCAGGAGGGTCTGGCTTATCTCTCCCCCAGCTTCAGGAGGAACTCCAGAAATGGGGGGAGAGGAACCCCAGTTTTCCTCATGCGGCTGGCTGAAACCTCCACGCACTTGGGTCACCACTACCAGGAAGAGCAAGGGCACCGCTCATGGACATGGGCCTGTGGCGAGGTTCCAGGACCCTCTGGAAACGCTGGCCTGCACTGGGGGGGTCCAGGTGAGTGCAGGCTGGAAGTCACCTTCACGGGCTGTGGGTCCAGAGTCCCATCTCCATGTGAGTTCTAGCACGTCCTCGCAGGTCACCTAGCATTTTAGAGGTGAACCCTGGGGGGGTCTTGAGGTCCTGGCGGTGGCTACAGTGAGCACTCCTACCACCTGATGCTGAGGCTGGAGCTGGCCTTCTCCACCGCATGGTAGCTCGTGTGCAATAGAGAGCTGGTCCGCTCTGAGCCCTCGCCGTGCAGCCAGTGCTGGTACAGCTCCCGGACCCCGGGCACATCCTCTGGCGCCTCCGTCCTGACTGTGTTGTACAGCCTCTCCACGTGCTGGAGAAGCTCCTTGCCAGGCATCTCAGGGGCCTTGAGCTGGCCTCCGCCGTTTAAGCAACCTGTGGCAGAACGGGATGGGCGAGGGCGTGGTCATGGGAAGGGTGTTCGAGTGCCAGGGGTCAGTGCCCCACATATACCCCTCCTGCCCTTCAGGATGTTCCCCGCAGCACTGGTCCCAGAAGAGGCCCCTGTACCGTCTGTGCAGAGTGGGCCTGTTAGGATTACCTGAGGGGCAGGCCATGACCTCCACATAATGGTAAGGGCAGCGCCCTCGCTTGAGCTTCTGCACCAGGTTCTGGATGTTGCGAAAGCCATAGGCCGCAGCAAAGTGCAGCAGGATGCGGCCCTCACTCTCCAGCGTCACCTCCTGGAAATCCTTGTTCCTGGAGGGCAGAGACGGTGCTTGTCCCCACCCACAGACGTGGCTGCTGACCTCACCAGCTCCCG